TTATCTGAAGTATCTAATAACACTGTTATCTATCTTCTACAGTTATAATCATTGTCATTATCTGAAGTATCTAATAACACTGTTATCTATCTTCTACAGTTATAATCATTGTCATTATCTGAAGTATCTAATAACACTGTTATCTATCTTCTTCAGTTAAAATCGAAATCATTATCTGAATTATCTAATAACACTGTTATCTATCTTCCAATTATTATAACTGTAGAACATAGATAACAGTGTTATTAGATACTTCAGATAATGAATGATTATAACTGAAGAAGATAGATAACAGTGTTATTAGATAATTCAGATAATGACAATGATTATAACTGAAGAAGACAGATAACAGTGTTATTAGATACTTCAGATAATGACAATTATTGTAACTGAAGAATAGATGAAAGTTTTAATGTATATGTTAGTTCATGACAAAGACTCGACTTAAGTGTTTGTTTAACTACTAATCAAAATGTAGGTTTTGGTACAAGTCCCCATATGTGTAAGCTCGTGCATGCATGTATTCGATTGTTAATCACATTGATCCTCTTCTAACCATTCAAGCTGATTTCGCAAAATTTGACCTTTAGATTTAATCAGTTCTCCTCAAACTGTAAACGTGAAACAAATTTATTTTGTTTATTTAATTAATAGTTATCTATATCAATACAAATTCCTTAGAACAGAGATTGAATTGTTGGAAAGGTTCACAGGAGAGCTACAAGAATGATACGTTGAATAAAAAGGTTATCGTATGAAGATAGGTTAAGATTACTAAAATTGTTTTCTCTCAACAGGAGCAGGGTTGATTGAAAGGCAACTGACAGTGTGGCCCTCATTGTTTTGTTAGATCCGATTGAAGATTGAAAGGGAACTGATAGTGTGGCCCTCAGTATTTTGTTAGACCTGATTGAAGATTGAAAGGGAACTGATAGTGTGGCCCTCAGTATTTTGTTAGATCTGATTGAAGATTGAAAGGGAACTGATAGTGTGGCCCTCAGTATTCTGTTAGATCTGATTGAAGATTGAAAGGGAACTGATAGTGTGGCCCTCAGTATTTTGTTCTAGATTTTAATCTAGTAGTTTTATAAGCTACAAAAATGTTCTCAACAACAATCTTAAAAACCCAACTGAAACCAGAACCTTTTATCATCAGCTGTTCTTGCTCCTAACAACAAGTTTCTCAACATTGATATTTTAGTAAAAGTTCTGCAAATAGAAAATAAAGTCAAAACAACAAATAAAATTCTCAACATTAAACAAGGAGAGTTGCTATTCATATATTTAACAGAACTTTAAAGTAAGCACACTTATACATTTTCTGGTATAACACTTCTCTGTAAGTTCATATATTTAACAGAACTTTAAAGTAAGCACACTTATATATTTTCTGGTATAACACTTCTCTGTAAGTTCATATATTTAACAGAACTTTAAAGTAAGCACACTTATATATTTTCTGGTATAACACTTCTCTGTAAGTTCATATATTTAACAGAACCTTAAAGTAAGCACACATATATTTTCTGGTATAACACTTCTCTGTAAGTTCATATATTTAACAGAACCTTAAAGTAAGCACACATATATTTTCTGGTATAAAACTTCTCTGTAAGTTCATATATTTAACAGAACCTTAAAGTAAGCACACATATATTTTCTGGTATAAAACTTCTCTGTAAGTTCATATATAATCCCTTTATGGTCACTAAAATCAAAAGCCTTACTTGAAATGTATTTAGAATTTCTGGATGAACGGTGATTAGAAGTTCTTGTAACACCTTTTAACCAGTGTTGCACTTTTACCTCAGGAGGTAGCTTAGTTTCCCAAACAATGTCACTGCTACAAGCAGTAGTTCTTTCCTGCAGGTCTCCAGCTTGTTTTAACACCCGTAAGATGTCACCACAATCTCTGATTTCCTCTACTAGCAGTTTCACTTCGTCCGAGTCAAAAACATCCCAGTCACTTTTCTGTTGAATATCTCCACTCGGTGTCTTCCCAGTGTGAACTTCTGTTGCTAGGGGAAGATTGTTGTCTTCGTCTAGCTGAACAAGTGCTGCTGCGGATCTGTATCGATGAACCCTGGAGTATTGATGTAAAAGCTTTTTTTTAAGATACATGATAAAGATATTCCTGTAAGTGAAAGGTTTTCCTCTTGACTCTTACTATTTTAGTCCTCAGCCTTAAAATGGAAATCTTAAATGTAGTGTTATTATTTTCATTAGAAATAAATTTACAAATATATATATATATTAATTTACTTACGTTTTGTTTCCATTCTTCCACAAAATATCTTAACAAAAGCTTTGAATATGAACTAACAAAAGAAAAACTGACCTGCCATATTTTAATGTTCTATTGTCCACGTCTTCACCAGTATCATACCAACACACAGTAACCTGGGTCGAGGAGTCTTCACAGAGCTACATATTAATACAGAACATTATTTTAGCTTCATACATTATATACTTGATCATTTAGAATAGTATGATTTAATCTTTAGCTTCATACATTATATACTTGATCATTTAGTATAGTATGATTTAATCTTTAGCTTCATACATTATATACTTGATCATTTAGAACAGTATGATTTAATCTTTAGCTTCATACATTATATACTTGATCATTTAGAATAGTATGATTTAATCTTCAGCTTCATACATTATATACTTGATCATTTAGAATAGTATGATTTAATATTTAGCTTCATACATTATATACTTGATCATTTAGAATAGTATGATTTAATCTTCAGCTTCATACATTATATACTTGATCATTTAGAATAGTATGATTTAATCTTTAGCTTCATACATTATATACTTGATCATTTAGAATAGTATGATTTAATCTTTAGCTTCATACATTATATACTTGATCATTTAGAATAGTATGGTTTAATCTTTAGCTTCATACATTATATACTTGATCATTTAGAATAGTATGATTTAATCTTTAGCTTCAACTTTTCTTTATAATTTTGTTATAAGAAAGGTTCTTAAAAAACCTACACCATCTAATAACTAAGCATTACTCTCAAGTACAATACATTTTATCATTGTTCCATAAAATAATATATGACATATTAGCTAAGGCATTACTTTTAAAACCCTTAGTCGTTACCTCACCTCTTTTAGAATCTCTTCAAATGTTCACAGCATTTCCTGACTCAGTTTTCACACCTCTTTATTCTTTTTGTGATCTCGCCAATTTATATAGATTCCAAACCCACACGGGATATTCTTAAAACTACTAACACGGTTTAGATTCCAAACCCACACAGGTCGTTGTTAAAACTACTAATGCGTTATAGATTCCAAACCCACACGGGTCATTGTTAAAACTACTAATGCAGTATAGATTTCAAACCCACTTGGGTCATTGTTAAAACTACTAATATGTTATAGATTCCAAACCCACAAGGGTCATTGTTAAAACTACTAATGCAATATAGATTTTAAACCCACACGGGTCATTGTTAAAACTACTAATGCGGTATAGATTTCAAACCCACATTATCTTTGCATGGAGTCAAATATTCTTAGATTGATTTGATGAAAATCACCATGTAACTAAAAGTTGTTAGATTGTCTTTTTAAAACCACTAGTTTACCATGGACTGGTGTGTATACCATATTTGTCCCAATATAATACACAAATATAGTTGTTCAACCTATTATTTAATTTCAAATATAATACACACCCAATTTTGAGTCTAAATTAATGAAAATTTGTTGTTGTTTTTTTTAACACATCAGTTGTACAAAATGTATTGAATAGTTTCTAAATACAGTAAACAGCTATCAATGTGTTAAACACTTTTGGAAATATTTCATTGAAAATTTTTTATGCATCAATTTTACAAAATTTATTTAAAAGTCTATAGGTGGTAATACACTAAGCTAAACCTTCATCATTGCTAGAATTGTCGCTACCATCAGATTCTTTGGATTTGCTTCCTTCAACCTTCGCTTCATCCTCTTCTGTATCCCAGAGCATGTCATCATCCATCCCATCCATTGCACTGCATTGGATATGCAACATTTTTTGAAACCTTTAATGATTTTCGATGGTAGCTTCTAGTAAAATACCTAACAAAATTGAATGTGCGTGAATATAATGTGTAGTCAATTTTTGGGCAATATTTGGAGGAAGGAAAGTGCACATTATATTCCAGCAAATAGAGTAATTATTGTTAATTTTATACAACTGGCTTGTCTTATCTCCAAACGGTAATTATTGTTAACTTTATACAACTGGCTTATCTTATCAACAAACGGTAATTATTGTTAACTTTATACAACTGGCTTGTCTTATCTCCAAACGGTAATTATTGTTAACTTTATACAACTGGCTTATCTTATCTCCAAACGGTAACTTTTGTTAACTTTATACAACTGGCTTGTTTTACCTTCAAATGGTAATTGTTGTTAACTTTATACAACTGGCTTGTTTCATCTCCAAATGATAATTATTGTTAACTTTATACAACTGGCTTATCTTATCTCCAAATGGTAATTATTGTTAACTTTATACAACTGGCTTATCTTATCTCCAAATGGTAATTGTTGTTAAC